AACATGTTGCAAGGAGGGACTAGTCCTTGGAGAGGGACATCATGTGTGGGAGAGTGGCGGGATGGTGCAGGAGAGGAAGACCCTTGATGAGATGGATCAATTCTGTGGGATGGTGGGAATGAGTGTGTGTGAGATGGCAAGGTTGGCAAAGGATAGAACGGCATTTAGGACTCTTGTACATAGGGTCACTATGAGTCACAGGTGACTTGGTGGCACATAAAAAAAACAGCAATTACAATTGTGGGATTCTATTGGCCAGGATTTTATTAAGGATTTTTGCATCTATGTTCATGAGAGGTATTGACCAATAGTTTTTTATTTTTGTGATGTCTTTACCTGATTATGATATCAAGGATATGTTTGCTTCATAGAATGATTCTGGGAGAATTCCGCCTTTTATATATTTTTGAAATAGTTTATGTAGAATTGGTGACAATTCTTCTCCGAATGGTTGATAAAACCCACTTGTAAAGCCATATGGTCCAGGGCTTTTTAAAATTTATTTATTTTTGGCTGGAAGTTGTTTAATTACCTTTTCAATTTCTCTTTTGCTAATGGATATGTTCAGGTGTTCAATTTCAGTTTGTAACAGTTTACGTAGGTAGTGAATTTCTAAGTATTTGTCCATTTCTGCTAGATTTTCATAGTTTTTGAGTATACTTTTATTTAATATTCCATTGTTAGCCTTTTTATTTTAGTTAGTTCTGTTGTCACATTGCCCATTCCATCTTTTATTTGGATTATTTCTATCTTTTCTTTATTTTCTTTTGTTAGTTTTGCTAGTGGTTTGCCAATTTTATTGAGCTTTTCAAAGAACCAACTTCTAGTTTTGTTGATGATTTCAATTGATTTTCTTTTTTCTGTTTCACTTATATCTGCCCTAATTTTTATAATTTCTAGAATTTTTAGAAAATGTCGATTTTCTTTCTTTTTTTGCGTTGTTGGAGATGTTGGTTTAGAGAGCCAATGGTCATTTTTTTCCTGTCATTTGATGTTTACTTATTGCTATAAATTGACCTCTGATTACTTCTTTGGCTGTTTCCCAAGAGGTTTTGGTGAGTTGTGGCGTTTTTTGTAATTTGTTTCAAGAAACTTTTTAATTTCATTTTTTATTTCTTCTAGAATCCACTCAATGTTCATTTCAAGCAAGGTTTTGTTCACCTTCCAAATGTATGCTTTTTTTCTCCTTTAATCTTCTTGTTATTAATTTCTAATTTTATAGCATTGTGTTCTGAGAAGATGCTTTGTATTATTTCTGGTTTTTGTTGTTGTTGTTGTTGCTGTTTTTTAATTTAATGATGCTTGACTCATGTCCTAAAATACGTTCTGTTTTCGAGGACATTCCACATACATTGGAGAAGGTATACTGTGCTTTATTTGGGTGCATTAGCCTATAAATATCAATGATAACAAGTTGATTTATTGTGTGGTGTAATTCTTAAGTGTCTTTGTTGAGTTTCTTTCTTGTAGTTCTCTTTTTTTCTTGAGAGTGGGGCATTGAGGTCTCCAGCTATTGTAGTTCTGCTGTGTATTTCCTTTTTAATTTTGTTAACATGTATTTTGCAGCTCTATCGTTTGGTGCATAGATATTTATTATTGTTATGGCCTCTTAGATATTTATCATTGTCATGGCCTCTTGTTATATTAATCCTTTAATCATTATATAGTGACATTCTTTGTCCTTCATGATGGTTTTTGCATTGAAATTTGTTTTATCAGAGATTAATATCACTACTCCTGCTTTTTTTCTGATTACAATGTGCTTGGTATATCTCCCCCGCTTTTTAAAAATTCTTTCCTTAGCTTCACTTTTCATGTGTGTCTCTTGTAAAGAGAATATTGATGGATTTTTTTTTATCCAATCTGCTACTCTTTTTTCCCCCCATTCAATGGTACATTTAAACCATTCACATTCAGAAGGATTATTGAGAGGCAGAGTTTTATTGCTATCATTTTGTTAAGTTCTTCGTAGTGTTGTTTCTAGTTACTTTGGCCCATCCTGCTTTCTGTGGCACTTCTGTAAGAAGCATGTCTCTCAGAGTTTCCTGCAATGCTGGTCTTGTCTTTACAAACTCCCTTAGTTCAGTTTTTATGGGAATATCTTGATCTCTCCTTCATACTTAGTGGACAGTTTTGATGGGTACAATATTTTTGGTTGACATTTGTATTCTTCGAGTGTTCAATATATGTCATTCCACTGTCTTTTTACTCACATGGTTTCTGCTGAGAAGCTGGCACTCAATCTTATTTGCTCTTCCTCATAGGTTACTCTTTGTTTCTCCCTTGCTGTGTTCAGAATTCTCTCCTTATCTTTGGTTCTGGCAAATTTGACTATGATATGCCTTAGTGTTTTTCTTTTAGGTTCCTATCTATATGGTGTTCTCTCAGCTTCTTGAACATATATCCTCTCATTCTTCATTATGCCTGAGAAGTTTTCTTCTAGTAATTCTTCCAGAAATTTTTTGGTGCCTTTATTTTCTTCTTCTTGTTCTGGGATTCCGATGATGCACATGTTATTTCTCTTGATAGTGTCCGACATTATTCTTATGTTTTCTTCTTTTTCATTCCTTTTTGATTCTGCTTTTTGTTTTAGCAGGTCAGTGGTGACAATTCTATCTTCTATTTAACTGGTTTTGTGTTCCATCTCTTCAAGTCTGTTCATATGTATCTCCATCATGTTGACAATGTCTAAAACATTGAACCTCATATTTTGGATCATTGGTTTTTGTTTTTCCAGAACCTCTCATGACTCATTTGTTTTATCTGCATTGTTTTGTATTTTTTTTTAACTTTTCTTTTTGTTTTGCTTGCAGTGTCCTATATTTCTTCAAGTTTGTCTTTCATTCAGTGAAAATATTCAGTCATTGTTCTTTTAAATTCTGTGTCAGAACGTTCCATAAGACTTTCTGGCTTCAGGAAATCCATTGCTACTGTGTCACTTTTTAGGAGAGATATCCTGCTTTAGGCTTGTGTAGAGTGAGAGATTGCCTGCTTCTTACGTGACATTGCTGTGGTAGAGGTTTTTATGCTTGAGGTGATAGTAGGTTCTTTATTTGATGTTACTGCTTCAGAAGGGGGTGGGACAGCTACCCTGCCTATGTTTCTCTTTGAAATTCTGACCTGAGGGAAGATTTGTTTCAGTTCAGGGCCTGTACTCACAACCTCTTCTGTCAGACAACTGTTGCAGCCAGGCCAGTCCAAGTGCTCCAGACTAAAGGCCGTTAGTTGAATGTATGTGTGGAGACACAAGCCAGAGTGTGGAGATGTGTGCAGGAAGGCACACACACAGAAGCATGCAGGGCAGATTCACACACAGATGCTCACCAGGCAGGCACTTGCACAGACCTGAATAGAAAACCAGAAAACTTTGATTTTCTCTTCCAGAACTGCGTTTGCTGTCTTCCTCAAGCTGTCTCACTCCATTCTCCTTGAGTTTAAGGGGTCCCAAGTGGTCCAAACAGCAGTGAACCCCACAACGTATCTTACTCAAATTCCAGCTCTCCAGCTCGCTCCTGGCGCCTTGCTCCCAGCAGATTGCTCCTGGCAGTTCCTCCCGGTGGCTCGCTCCTTGGATCACTGGGTCTGGCATCTCTCTGGGTCTGACGTCTCTCTGGGTCTGGTGTATCTTTGGAGAGTTGTATTTTCTTGTGTTAGGCATATGCTGAGTGAATTCTCTTAAGTTTATTTTTTTATCTGGTGCTAACAAATTGGCTGTGGCCCACAGTAATCCTGTGTACGGCATCACAACCCTGCCTGGTCCCACACCCTCCTATTTTCCTCTGTGTTTAATCCCATTGATGTGGTCATTGTGTCCTTCCAGCTCACTGCAGGTCTTACTCTGTACTGCTGCACTTTTACATGTGATTTATGGTAAAATGCATAATGCCCTCTCTATGGTCTGACTCCTTCTGGTAACATGACCAAATATGTTATAAAAGTTCCTGAAAAGAGCCTTGATTGCACTTCTTCCAAGACAGAGTTGGTATTTCTTTTTGCAGTCTGTGGGATATTCAGTACTCTTCTCTTGCACTACAAATCAAAGTGAGCAATTCTTCACTTTTTCTTATTCACTCTGAACTTCCACAAGTATATGAAGTGATTGAAAAGATCATGGCTTGGGTTGATTCTTAGTCTTTAAAGTGACATCCTTGCTCTTTAACACTTCAAAGGCATTTCTGGTGGCTTTTTTTTTCCAGTGCAATAATCCTGATTCTTAATATGTGAATTCACTTTACCAACCTATGTTGAAGGAGCCCAGGCTGTATGATGGTTAAGGGCTTGGCTGCTTCCAAACTGGGAGACTAGTGCTTTGAACGTACACACTGAGGAGAAGAAATTGGTGACCTGGACTGAATGAATGAAGTTCAACAGAAAGTGGAGGTAGCTGGGGCAGAGAAAGTTCAGGTGAGGTAGCTTGCCAGCTTATTACAGACTGACTGCAGGGTCCCTGGCCCCTGGGTGAAGATGGGAAGCACTGAGTCATTTCTGGGAGAGCTAGCTCAGAGAAGACTTGCCTTTCACAAGAAATACTGTGGCCACATGTGGAGAATAGAGCAGTGTGTGGCAGCAGCTGCCCATGTCTGCACTGGAATGGGGTTCTATTGTACAGTGATGCAAAGTAATGGAGGGACTCAGGATGTGATATCCCAGGGATGAGATAATAACGGGGAGAGGTGGAGGGAGCTAGATTTCTGTCTGAGAAAGGCAGCAGACAGAATTGGTCAGGGGGCCATTTTGCAGAATACTTGGGTAGATCAGAGATTTGGTGGATAAACTTACTATTTTAGGTAGGGTCACTAAACTGATTTCAGTCTCTTCAAGGGCCTGTATCAACCCCCCTCCCCCTCCCCCATTGGACAGTTGTACTTTGCCACAGGTGTCCCTGTGAGTGGAAGTTGGTTTGACAGCACCTGCCCACAATAGCCCCTGTTGAGCCTCATCTCACCGACGTTTGGGGGAGGAAACATGCTCACCCACGTTCTTTGGCCTTTGTTTTCCAGCTTCCATTGTAATCCAGAAGTGGTGGTGTCACATGAATCCCTGTTTGGAAGGCGAGGACTGCAAAGTGCTGCCTGATTCCTCAGGGTGGTCCTGCAGCAGTGGCAATAAAGTCAAGACGACAAGGGCAAGTATGGAGGCAGCACAACGTCAGCCAGGGGGTCTGGCCTTGATCTAGCATAGCCATCTGGAGAACAGGCAGGAATTTGATAGGTGAATGTGCTGGTTTTAGGCAGGGCCACTCAGTCCCTTCACTGGCCTGATTTAGTTACAGTGATTTCAGAGATCACGGGTCAGTGTATCAAAACATTGTGGCAAGAAGCCACATACAGACAGTATGTTGTCATTTGTATGTTACAACTCAGTAGTTGGAACCAGCTCATAGTTGATCCTCCAAGGGGTTTTCAGGGCTGTAAATCCCATAGGAAGAGATTGCCCACTTTTCTTCCACAGAACTAGTGGATTTGAATTGCATGCCTTTGAGTTTACAATGCAACTCCTTACCCACTAGGCCACTAGAGCTCTCAAATCACCAATATATAAAACCATTTCCTCCCACAATGGCCCTCCTTCCAATTCTGCTGGCTCCGTTTTACAGAGTACATAGATGACATGCTAAAATAGAACTACCTCCTGCCTTCAAAGAAATTTAATGGCTAAAGATTGTCAGATCTCCTAAGCCAACCGTGTCCTCACACAATGGCCTTTCGTTCAGTTCTGTCTGCTTCCTTTCTCAGCCTGAAACCTCCTCCTCCTCCTCTCCCCAGCTATACCCCATGCCTAGGATTTTTTTGCCTCGAGTCTATTCCTGACTCTTTATCACTCCGCATAGAACTCCTGTCTAGTCCACCACTGTCTCTCCAAGACTAGGTGCTGCTACTTCACCCCTGCTTTTGCTCCATTCTCCACACGTGGCCACAGCACTACTTGTGAAATGCAAGTCATCTCAGAGCTGTTGCCCAGAAATCTCTCAGTGCTTCCCACCCTCATCCATGGCTCGCTAACACCTGCGGTCAGTCTGTAATAAGGTGGCAAGCCACCTCTTCTTCACTTTCTCTACCCCAGCCACTCAGCTTTCTGTTGTCCTTCTTGACACATTGTTTTTGTTGTCCCTCTCCTTAGGAAGGATGCCTCTCCCTTCTTCTCCTTGTAAATGGTATTTCTTCAGGGGACCATCTCCTCCTTGGCAGTGGTAGCCCTGTGCCTCTGGACAGCATTTGTTATCATTCCAGGTTACCTGGGCTAGTGTATCTGCTTGTTTAATACTAGAACTTTCTGTTTGGTGAAAGCTATGAAGTCATGATCTTGTGTCTATTTATTTCAACCTGAAGGGGATCTCTGGTGGTCTAGTGGGTAATGAATTGTGCTGCCCACACAAAGCAGGCTGTTCAAATCCACCAGCTGCTGCCAGGAGAAAGATGGACAGTCTCCTCCCTTGAGATTTGTTGTTGTTATGTGCCATCGACTCCAACTCATAGTGACCTTATGTACAACAACTCTGAGCCCTGCTCTATCCGTCACCAACCTTATTATCTCTGACACACCTACACCTGTGACCCCAGTCACTGAGTAAATCTGTCTCATCCAGGATCTTCCTCTCGTGTGCTGTCCCTTCAACCTCCCTCCCAAGCATGATGTCCCTCTTCAAGGACTGGTCTCTCCTTGCAGCATGTTTCTGAAAACCCACCAGAGGGTCAGCTGGGAGTCACCTCTGACCTGATGACAATGGCTTGTGGTGATGGTGGTCCTACTGGCAATGGATTGTGTCCATACATATTTCTTGAATAAAAATGAAATGTCAGTGACCCCCTGGGACTGCCCATACTGCACGGGGGTGTCTTGCTTGCTATCTATGCTCTGGAGCCCCAGGAAAGAAGTGTGGAACCAAGAGCCTCCCCTCCACTTTCCCCTTCACAGAGTTTTGGATCTTAGAGTTCTTGTTAATATTCAACATCTAAGACACGCAGCCTTTTGGATGGCAGAGTGATGCCCTAAGGAATACAGCACAGCCTTCCTAAGCATATGCACGAGGATGATAATGAAGAGTTTATAATGCAACTAAATGAAAACTCTTGTTGCCATACCCCAAGTTGTCAGTAATAAGTTATTTGGTTAGTTCCTTACTATCTCACTAACATAAATATTGACATTGTGCTGTTGTTGTTAATTGCTGTTGAGTCAAGCCTGACTCATAACGACCCTATGAACAAAAGGCCTAAAGGCTTTCTATAACTATCATCATTTATCAAAGTTCATAGTTTCTAGAGGCATGTTGTTTCAGAGGTGGATGCCTCTCCTGCTTCCAAAACGATTGTATGTGTGTGTGTGTGTGTGTGTGTGTGTGTGTGTATTTGTGTATGTATGTGTATATGTATATATGTGTGGTGTGTGTGTATTTGTGTATGTATGTGTATATGTATTATGTATGTGTATATGTATATATGTGTGTATGTATGTGTATATGTATATATGTATGTATATGTATGTGTGTAATATATTATTTTTTCCCAGTTAGTAGTAGAATTGAGATGAGCAGAATCCATGCCCTGACAGATGCCTTTGTCCCCAGGCCAGTAGGGTTTCATGGGCCAGTTTGCTGCCAGCCCCACTGCTGTTGTAAGGTGCCTTTGAGTCCACTCCTAGGAACCCTATGAATAAGAGTGAGACCTTACCCTATTCTGAATCTCTTTGTGAGTCACTGCCACTAAATTCCAGTTTAAGTGTGCTTGCTCATTGCACACCACCCTAAGGTAATTCTGTTATTCCCACTTCATCCCTCATTAGGCTTCTTCCAACTATTTTTCCGTTGTCATTTCACTGATTAAAATGACAATGCTGAAAGATGGAGTAGAATTTCCCAGTGAGGCTATGCATCTTTACAGCATGCCACATCTTTTTCAATAGAGCAGCAGGTGGTTTTGAACTAACTCTCTTTGGAATAGCAGACCACAGCTTAAGCCTCGGTGGGCACCTCCAAGGCTCTCCCCCCCGCCCCCCGACACAGACTGTGTCCTTTTTAAATGAAAAGTGTGGTACTGACAATGAACTGGGGCCTTACATGGTCAGTGGTAATGTATTTTTCCTTTTCGTTGTATTCCTTTACAGACTAAGAAAGAACATTTTGGAAGATTATATTTCTATTGATTTTTACATATAAAGATAACACTAGCCCCCAGCACAAGCTGTCATGTCTAGGAAGAATGTGTGTGAGTTGGTCCCTTGGTGCAGGGTGCTCTGTGTTCATGTGCACTTAAAGCATTTGTAGGAAGCAGACCTTCAGGGGTCTCTTGGCTCTGTGTGCTGGGACTATGAGTTTGTGCTTGCAGAACCCTCGATGGTCGTGACATTTCATTTGGCACTTCAAAAAGTTGTAGAAACATTATACAGTTCCCCAAGCCATCGTGACACTTACCCCTTCTTCTTGGTTTTAGTGATAGGCCACTTGAGAATAATCTCAAAGTCATAAAACTTTGTTTCCTTTATTAATCCAAGTCGATGTGATTTGAACTACATAAAATGTTTTATTTTTTTTTTTCATAAAATGTTTTATATCTTTTCATGAATTGAAAGCACAGAGAGAAAATTCATTTGTGGGGCTCTGAGTTGCTTCCTTGAAGAGCTGAGTATCCATGCAAGCTCTGTTTTATTTTCCTTTAAAATCAGCCCTGACCTTATACCCCAGATGAGACCATGGTTCTGTAAATGGGACCCAGCTGCCTCCCTCAGAGAGCATATTAACTAGCCAACAATCCCATTTCGGTTTTCCTCAAGTAGTTTGTGTACTACAACAGCATCATAGCTCAGAAAGGCAAAAGAGTAAGATTGTCTGCAGGTAAGCTGCCTATGCCAGAATTTTATTTTCTATTTAAATGCAAATATAAAAAAGGGTTAGCAGCTTGAGATATTAATAGACTTAGATGAACATAGGAAAATAAGAGGGAGGACAGTTCCCTCAGAGTCATTTTCCTTTTTCCAAGTTTAAAAGATTGTCGATAAATTTATTTTGTCTACATAGTTTTTAACGTCCCCAGAGGAGGTATAGCCTTTACTTATAACTCATTCTCTCCCCACCCATCCTACTGCAATTTTCCTTCATTTAATTCCAAGTTTTGCAGCATTCTCTATGCTAAATAGTTCTTCCTTCTTTGGAGTGGTCATTCTAGAGACTCCCAAGATGAACATTGTCTTCTTAGCACCAAAGTCAGCTATTTGTCAGGGAGTTTTGTTTGAATTCCAGTTTTTTTGTGTAGTTTTGGTCGATTTTTGTTTTGTTTGTTTGTTTGTTTTTAAGTAACCATGTTTTTATTGCTTATGCCTCTGAGCTCTGGCTCCCTAGTGGTAAGAATCTGCACTACAATCCCAAAGGCATGGGGTTCGCATCACCAGCTGTTCTGAGGGAGAAGGTTGAACAATCTCCTCCCATGCAGTTACTGTCTCTGAAAATCCGCTATAGGGTCAGTTATGAGTTGATTCTGACTTGATGGCACACAACGACCACCCTGGGTGAAGGGCTGTGTATTTAGAGCAGTGATTCTAAATCAGAGTTGTGTGACAATGTCTGAGAATATAGGTTTGACCTTCAGAGGGTGCTGTCGAGGAGGCAAGAAAAGCTGTCATCCGTGCTAGAGTGCACAGAACAGCCTATGGCCCCCAAGTGTCAGTCAATTCAACTTAGTGTTATCAAGATGGAACTGATGTGTGCTTAACTCACCAGTGGTTTTCATGATTGTAAATCGCATGGGAGGAAATGACCCATCTTTTTCCTGTGAAGCAGCTGGTGGACTTGAACTGCCTGCCAGTAATTGTATGGTGGTGTGCTGTGGAGCCGGAACTGCCTCGAAGCTGACCATCTCTATAGCACTCCTAAACATCAATAGTGTTGTGATAATAGTGTGAGAGAGATTAGTGGTATCTTAGTGTCCCTTAGTCACCCTTCAGGCATGGAACTAACCTCACTTCTGTAGTTCAGCCTTCGCAGTTACTCCATGGAACAGTCACCCAGACAAGAGCAAAGGTAAAAGGACAAATGAAAGCAGGAAACACAAGAAGGAAGTGGGAAAAGTGCTTTCAGACTGTGGGGATTGTAATCAATGCCACGAAACATTTATGACGTTTTAGATGGGAAGCTAATTTGCTCTATAAACTTTCACCCAAATTACAAAATGTTAAAAATTAAAA